GGTTGGAGTCCCAGACCCGGTGCCTTAAAACTCACGCTGGGCACGTGTGCGTGCGTGCCCAAGATCCCGAGAGGAGAACGGAGGAGAAGAGATTGTGGCATGGCCATCCCCCTGGGGGGTGATTTCTTGTCTCTGTCTCTCTGGCAAGCATACATGCCCTAGAGCAAAAATCTCTCTCTCTCTCTAAAAAAAAAAAAAAACCAGAATTTTGACAGAGAACTGTTTAATCTGTTCTTTAAAAAACTAGCATAACAAAGAGTAGTATATGCCTATCCTAGTGTTGTGGCCCAGGTCATCAAACTGCTCGTAACACGTAGTATTTCTATGTGTGTATCTCAGAAATGAGTTCTTCAAGACCAGCACCGCCTCTGGCAATGTGTGCTGGGAGGCAGGGGCTCACGTCCAGGACACACCTAAAGGCCAGGTGGCTTGTGCTTCTCATCTCAGTGACTCTGAGGCCCATCAGGCCCGGCAGGAGGGCCATGATATGGCAAGATTCTGTCTTAGAAAAAAAGAAAAAGAAAGACAAACTCTCTTACAAAGAAAGGAAGATAGAGAAGAAAAATCTAACAGTAGTTTTTTCTGGGTTCTGGATATAATTATTAAAAAAAAAAAACTGTTGGAGGGTACATGCACTCACTGGAGAGAGAGAGAAGACAGGGAAAGTGAGAAAGTACCCCCCCACCCCCCGCCCTACGAAGAATAGTCACACCACAATCCCTTCTCCTCCATTTCTCCTTCTGGGATTTTGGGCATGCACACACACATATCTGGCATGTTTTTCAAGCTGCTAGGTTTGGAAATCCAACCACGTAATCGGCCACAGAGGATCCAGCCACCTTAACCACCATGCCACCAGCTGCCCCAATAACGGCACTCTTGCAACACAAAGAAACTGTAAGATTATACACTCATAGAAGGAGAGCTTGTGGAATTACATGAGCAGTAATGTTAGGGCATGAAACTAAAACTGCTTAGAGTCAAAATTTTCTATAAAAATTCTGTGAGATATTGTCATATTAGCAACAAATCCAAATAGCCATTTCTTTCAGCATCAGTTGATGAAACTGACTTGTGTATGACTAAGGAAAGTTACACATCAAAATGAGACTGTCTCAGGGACAGAGATTCGCCAGCCACCCGTGGTCTCAGGATCTGAGACCTGATCTTAGAACTGAGATCACACAAGCAAGCAAGAGCCACTAACACCCACTTCCAGTGAGGTGGGCACTCGCCCTGTTTGCACACCCACTTCCAGAGAGGTGGGCACTCGCACTGTTTACACGAGTCTTTCTCTTTGAGGCAAGTGTGAGCCACTGAATTTGCAAAGCTAAATGTAGACCTTATTTTGTTTGTTTATTTGTTTACTATTCATGCATTAAGTTGCTATACATCATTTAGGTTGTGAAGAGGCTTCCCCAGCATGACACACACCTCAGCCCAGCCCGGTTGTGCACCTTCTACACCTCCTTGTGCCTCGAGGTAGAGAACTACATCACACATCCTGGTCGGAGGAACTGTGTGGAGGGCCAAGGACATTTGGCCGCTAGAAAATATTTTCATCGTTTGGCTCATCAGAAGAACCAACTCATCAATGGTAAGCGAGGGAGATCACATTTACCTTATCAGTAAGAAACTTCGCCTTGTTTCTCTGCTGTCTTGCAAGATACTGGTTGTATAACTGAGCCAGCTTGGCTGCCAAAACATGCTCTCGGCTAAAACAGGGGTGATGAGTGAAGATTAACCCTGCAATATCAATGTCCAGTTGGAAATTTCCAGGAGGGTCTCCAGATCCAATCATGTGCTGACTTCTGTGGATGTACTTCACAGCCTGTCAGAGAGAGCAAGATGTGGGAAAACAAAGTTAAGGCACTTACTGAAAATGACGTCCAGTCTGCAATGGCAAGAGTCAGATGCAAAATTTCTCTTATCCTGGTTAAGTCGGGTACAAGATGCTTGACTACCTGTTTCTAGGTTTTAGGGACCTGCTCTCTTTTGGATATTTGAAAAGGAAAATGAAAGACCAGAAATAAGAAAAAAAAATTAATTTTTTTCTTTCCTGTCTTTTAGTTTTCATTACTCTCCCAAGTCATAGTTCTAATCTTTTTAAATATAGAATATTCTCTTTTACAAAATCTTGGATTTTGTAGCTTTTGACCTTGAAGTTCTTTTTTTTTTGAAGAATTATTTTATTTAACTTATTTATTATTATTATCATTTTCCAGTTTGATCAGAGAGAGACAGCGAGAGAGAGAGAGAGGGAAAGTGAGAAAGCAAGTCGCCAGGTCTGGGACTTGAAAGGTGGTCAGCCGTGTGGGAGTCCAGCGCCCTTAGTCACCACGTCACCTGATGGCCCCCCTTGAACTTCTTTTAATGATAGTGGCATAGATCCTTATCATTATTTGGTTCACAGATAAATTCCCATGTAACTAAACTTTCTTTTTTTGAGAAGGTTTTGCCTTAGGGCGCATGCACTCACTTGAGAGAGTGCCAGAGACAGTGAGAGGGCCACATCACAGTCCCTTCTCCTCCACTCTTCTCTTGGGATCTTGGGCGCATGAGCATGCTTGCCTGGCATGAGTTTCAAGGTGCCAGGTCTGGGACTCAAACCACGGTCAGTCACGTGGGAGTCCAGTGACATAACTGCTATGCCATCTGCTGGACTCATAACTAGATTTTTAAATTTTAAAGATATTTTTGCTTTGTAGACAAAAGCCAGAGACTAACTCTTACTTAACTGAGCTTCCATGCTAGCAAACAGTTTTCCTTAAGACGGAGAAGTTAGTATGAAAATTAGTGGAGGAAGGGGTGGAGGCCCACTAACCTGACTGTAAAAAACAGGAATGAAAATTTCCAATGGGAACTTTTTGGTTGTTTGGTACATAGTGTATCAGCTAAATACTCCTATTTTTCTTTCACAAATTTTTCAATATGTCCACTCACAGATCACTAATGCCAACGTTAATTCAGCTGGGAATATCAAAGGTCAAGAGGAGACATCTTTGGCTTTACGCCTTCCTTTTCTCTCCTTGTTATAAACACTGATTGTAGTCAGGCTCTGCTGGTTTGAGACAAGGCACTCAATCCCTCCCTTTCAGTAGAGATGAGCTTTGAAAGCACCTTACATTATGTGAATGCTGATAATATATATTATGTGGTGTAAATGTATTATTTATGTTATGAGGTTAAATGGAAGTTGTAAGAACTCCAGTCAGCTTTGAATTCTTTGTCCTTCATAAATTATAGGTAATAGGTTCAGTAGTCTCTGCATTTCGCTATTCTGCATTTATCGTGTAATGATGCTGGATTTTAGGTCGAAGCCTTCGAGCCTTGGCTCTACTTTGAACTTGCTCTAGGACTTTGGGCAAGTCGCTATATGTTTCTGGGCTTCAATTTCTTCATTCATAGAAATGGAGGACCAAGGAAAAAGGAAATTCACTTAGCATTCTGGGCTCTAACACAGCATGTCTTACATGTATGCTAATAAAGTGCTACATTTTCTCCTGTAAAATAACATGCAATCTATCTTTGCTGAGAAGATCTATAGAATTTTTATTTTAAAAAATGCCTTGTTAAACTGGAGTGCATTTACAAATATTTTAGGCTTAACTAGGAAAGGATCAACTGTATTTCAGTACCTCTGGAATACCTTCCATGTCCCCATCCGCTGTCCAAACCTGTGGTGGCCGTGCTCTAATGCCTGGTGCTGAGAGCTCAGCTCAGCCAAGTATGAAAGGCTTCCAGGAGTCCTGGAATGGCTGGCTTAGACCGCTCAACAGAGAAAAAGACCCCTAGTTCTTTGTCTTTTGCTGTTGTCATTGTATACATTTTCCTTTCTTATATATTGAGAACTGTCATGAAAATAATAATTAAGAATAGCTTGCAAGGATCTCCATGTGGCTTTCTTAGAGGAGGAAAGACCACCTCTATGTGGACCATCTGACACTAATCTTTTGTACCTGAATGGAAGTCCTGTGTGGCCTTACAGAGATTAATTCTAATCATCAACATCCTTACACTTCAGACTGCAATGACAAGGGTACATTTCTTTTCTCTTTCATTTATGTCCAATTTAATTCAATTATTTTGAATTATAAACTGCATTAGGGACAGGATTTCTTTTTAAAAATTATTTAATTTAATTTATTTATTTAATTAATTTATTTAAATTTGACTAGAGAAGGAGAGAGAGAGAGAGAAAGAGAAAGTGAGAAGGCAAGTCATTGGGTCTGGGAATTGAACCACAGTTGGCCATGTGGGAGTCCAGCTCTCTTAATCACCATGCCACCTGCCAGCCCCAGGGACAGATGTTTTTAATATGCATGTGGTCACTATGTGTCTTTTGACAGCCCAGATCATCTGGATTAGTAAAAAAATTTTACCTCTCAAAGACATACAATTAAACATCAATCCACAACACAACAGAACATTGTTTTCTATGGCTCTGTGCCTGTCTGCTTCCATGGGTTCCAGAGGTATGAGATCACCCAGGGTGTGACTCTCAGGTTCAGCCTGTACTCTCTCGGTATGGGTAGGTAACGTGGGTGTAACAATCTATTGCTGTACACCGTTACCTAGTGTTACAGGGTACTTGGGTTTGCGGCTCCTCCCCTCGAGCTGCATTAGCCCACGCTCCACTGACTGCTGGTGGTGCTACCTCAAGCTCAGCTCACCCACGTGGAAAAGGCTCACCACATGTACCCGGAGTCCTGGTACCCAGTGAGCTGGACTGCTGAGGACAGCGCCAGCTCCCCTCTCACTAGGGAGAAAGACTTGTTCCTGTCTTTTCTTTCTGTTCAGTTTTTCTTTCTTATATACTGAGAACTGTCATGAAATGGGAGCAACAATTTCTCCCCAAAGCAGATAATATTTATAGAATATTTATAGAGTATATTATTTTTATTTTGAAACTGATTTGATTCTTCAGTTGTTAGCTGAAAACTGGAAACAAAAACTAATGGAGGTAATTACTGAGTATCTGTTGATGGACTCAGCATGTATACAGATGCATAACAATGAAGAATAAAAGTAAAGTTGTACTTGATTTTATACTTTAAGTTGTACTTTCTTTTTTTACTTCTGCCCCCCCACCCCCGACACAATGTCTCTCTAAGGCCAACGTTGAAAGATGCTACCTTTCTATTCCGAGTTCAGCACAACTAAGACTACAGTAGACTTTCAGTTAAGAATAAAAGCAGTATGGGACCAGCAGATGGAGTAATGGTTACGTTGCTGGACTCCCATGTAGGGACTGGGGCTAGAGTCTCAGGCCCAGCAGCTTAAAACTCATACTGGGCACATGTGGGTGTGTCCCCAAGATCTCAAGAGAAGAATGGAGGAGAAGGGACTGCAGTGTGGCCATCTCCCCTGGGGAGTGATTTCTCACTTTCTGTCTCTGTCTCTCTGGTGAGTGCACACACCTTGTAGCAAAAATCCCTGTAAAAACAAAAAAAGAATAAAAGGGGTAAAAATAGAAATGAAGGAAGAAATAAAGGAGGAAAGAAAGAAAGAAGGAAGGAAGGGGAGGAAAGGAAGAAAGATGTCTGGACTGCTTTTTTGGCTCTAACTCTCCTTTGCTACTGTGAACAGGTAAGCTGCATTTCATATTGCTTATGTTTTACCTCGATGTCCTATCTGGCATTTTTACATTTTATTTTTGGATTGGTTTCCTCTTATACTTTGTTAAATGGGACCAGCCGAGCTCCAGCAGTCTGTAGCTTACTAGACCTGTAGGACTGGAAGCCACATGGTCGATGGCAGGTTTTGACCCCTGGTCAGCCTGAGAATATGGCAGGCACATGTGTGGGTGCCCAACCTTATGAGGAGCTGGAGGGCAGGGGAAAGGGGGTCCCAGTGTGATAAGACCCTGTCAAGAGTTCTTTCTTTCACATGTGTGTGCATGTATTCTCTATAACAAAGAAAGAGAGAAAGGTTTATTAAATGCATTTTTTTTTGAGATCTTTGCTACAGGACATATGTGCTTGCCAGAGGGGCAGAGAGGCAGGGAGACGGAAAGTGAGAAATCACCCCCCAGGGCAGATGGCCACACTGCAATCCCTTCTCCTCGAGTCACCTCTTGGGATTTTGGACACCCACACACATGTGCCCAGTGTGAGTTTTAAGTACCAGGTCCGGGACTCTAATTGCAGTAGACTACATGGGAGTCAGCAATGTAACTATTATGCCATCTGCTGGTCCCTATATGCATTCTTTTTAATTTGATGTTTAACTTTTCCCACTGAATGATAACTAATATCCTTTTGCATGTCTCTGTCTTTTTCTTTTACTTATTATTATTATTTTTTTGGGTTTTTTTAGAGATTTTTTTCTATAGAGCATGTGTGCTCACCAGAAAGTCAGAGTGAGACAGAAACAGAAAGCAAGAAATCACCCCTAGGGGACTGGCTAAGTCACAATCCCTTCTCCACCATTCTCCTCTCGGGGTCTTGGGCACGCATGCACACGTGCCTGGCATGAGTTTCAAGACGCCAGGTCTGGGACTCGAATGCTTGGTTGACTACATGGGAGTCCAGTGACATAACCATCACGCCATCTGCTGGTCCTGCATTTCTCTATCTTTAACAGTTCCTTCTTAATTTAGGAAAAACAAAATATTTCACTTTTAAAAATTACTTTTATTCCTCTGTAATCAAGGGAAAAAAAGCAGGAGTGAACAGCAATTTCCTTCAATGAGAGTCCTAAATGATCTAATGAGAAGGCATACAATCCATCATTTGAATTACACATTCTAATACTTACAACCAAAGAACAACCCGACTTGACTCTAGCAAGAGATGGGATTTCGCTGGCTGAAGTTAGCATCAGCTTTCG